CTAAGAACCTCAAAGTAGCACAATAGACTATAAAGTGTGTCTCCCACTTTTGTTAAAGTGAAGAATTATGAATCAAGGTTGTAATATGAAGTTAGGCAAACTGCTATACAAGCCAATGCAAGTTAAGTTACAAAGTGAAAGAAGATCCAAAGTTAAACTTTCTATTTCTACCAGAGGGTATTTCATTGCTTCCTGATTGCATCTTCTTGTAGGGATATACTATTGGAATATGGGACAAATGTAATGAAACTGGGGATTACACTCATTGAATTACTATCAGAAGCTCTTGGGCTGCATTCAGACCATTTAAAAGACATGGGTTGTGCTGAGGGACTTCTTTTACTTTGCCATTACTATCCTGCATGCCCTGAACCTGAATTAACTATGGGAGTCACCAAGCATTCAGATGATTCTTTTCTCACAGTGCTTCTCCAGGACCATATTGGTGGCCTCCAGATTCTTTACCAGGACAAGTGGATTGATATAATTCCAGAACCTGGGGCTCTTATAGTTAATATTGGTGATCTTCTGCAGGCAAGTTTTCTGTTGCTTATATACATGTGTGTATTTCCCGCTACAATTATTGTGAATGCTTATTGCAACTGCAGCTTCATTGTCACAAACTAATAAATTTTACCATGGTTATATTAAATTGGCTAGTATAAGTTATGGACTTATGGTGTATGAAATTGTATTAAATTGGCTAGTATAAGTTATGGAACAATACTTATTTGCATTAATATTTTTATCCGGTATAAAGCAAAAGCCGTGTATGAAATTGAAATTTTACAAATTCTTATGATATGTGAAATGAACTTATATAAATACAGCTAATTATTAATTTTGTTGAAGTGCAGCTTGTAACAAATGACAGATTCAAGAGTGTGCAACACAGAGTTCTGGCAAATCACATAGGTCCAAGAATATCTGTTGCATGCTTTTTCAGCACAGATGCTAAACCATCATCGAAGCTCTATGGACCTATAAAAGAATTATTATCAGAAGAAAATCCTCCCAAATATAGAGAAACCACAGTTACAGATTATGTAGCCTACTTCACTGCAAAAGGCCTTGATGGGACCTCTGCTCTTCAACATTTCAGGATTTGAGTTGGATAATGTGGACTGAGGTTGTTTATTTAGCACAATAAATGAATGAACTATGTAAGTTGAAAATAATAGCTTATATCAAATTCAATATGATTATCTATCTTATTCTCGGACTAAAATTTGTTGCATCGCCTATGTCTTGCAACTGAGATATTAAAAAATGTACATCCCTGTTTCTATCATTTGCTTGGTTTTAAAACACGTGAGGTGAAACAAGAATTCTTTGCTTGCGTTGATTATATCATCATATGAAGCAACGCCCAGTGAATTTAATGTTTTACCACATTGACAATTTTGTTCTTATTTTTTTTTAAATATTATTTTATCTATTTTTCCAAACTATATATTATTAGAGTTTGGAGTTTGTCCTTTTAAAGGATATAGAATTGTGTCCTTTTAAGTTAGAGAAAGAGATATACAATGAAAATTATACAAGGAGAAAGTGGATTATTTTTTTTAATTTAAATTTTAAATAAAAAACACTACTTTTAACTAAAATGATCATTATTTAAAAGGACAAATATTTTTCTTTCATTATTATATTTCTTTTCTCAAATTATATATTAATCTATCTTATTTGATCAAAATTTGACCGGTACTTACCGGAGTAAATGACTTATCAAGTAGTGATAAACTCAGTATTTTTTATGACGAGGGGCAAAAATAAAATATCAAAGTTACAAATATTATTAAAACTAATAAAAAAAACTAAATATCATAAGTGTTTTTAAGGGAAAAGCTAGGAGAGGTGACCAGTGATTAAGGGCGTAAATAGGTTAGGTTAGGCTTTAACTTAAATAGCTCAGGTCTATGTAAAATATTTTAGGCTAGCCCAGCATGTTACCCTTATATTGGCCCAAATTATATGTCTAGTCTGACCTATATTTAAAAAACAAAAATATTGGCCTAGGCCTATTAGCTTGTTTAAATCTATTAAACATTCAATAATTAAAAAATAATTAAAATAACATTACTTTATTATTTAAAATTATTAAAATAATATTATAATATAAGCTGGCTTTAAGCTTATAGGCTCGTCATGTAAAAAAAAAAAACTAGGGCCTGTTTTCTAAATAGACTTTTTAAAATCTAGATCTGTTCTATTTAACTATATTTAATAGGTCGAATTTAGCCTAATATCGGTTAAATCGTAAGCCTCTCTTGACCAACCTAGCCCATTTACATACCACCTATCCACACCTCTCCCTTTGCTCCGCCCCTGTTACCGAGGATTAGGGTTTGGTCAAACTTTGATTAAATAGTGACAAATTTTTATATAATTCAAAAGAGGAAAAAAAAATAATAAAAAAAATTAAAACTGGAACAAAATACCAATTATGCAAATTTTAAAGAGTGATAGCGGGGAAGTGCAGAAAAAGCAAGTTATAGGATGAATGAAGTAATAAGTTATAGGAACCTGCAGCTAAAAGAGTACATATTGCTATAAAACGTTACTTGATATTTATTAGGGTTGAAAAAATAGGGCAACCCAATTCGACCCAGCCCAATTTGCGTGCAATCCAAACAAGTCAGGTTAGGGTTAGCTCGAAAAAAATTGAGCCAGAAAACCCAACCCGAGTCGAGTTAGGGTTGGCTCGAAAAAATGACTGCTTGTTTGGCTTAAAAAAATGGGTCACGAGTTGGCTTGAAAATTGGCTCGCGGGTTGGCTCAAAATGGCTCGCGGGTTGGCTCGTTTTGAGCCCATTTAAATGAACCTATAGTATGTGGCTTCTATCAGCTTAAACAATCCAATGGTCTTACAGAATGATTTATAAAAAAAAAAAAAAAAAAAAGCAAAACAGAAAAAGGGTTACAAAATGAAAAGCAAAAAACCAAAAATACAAGAAGCTTTCGATGCAGGAACTAAGGCCAAGACTGAGCAGCTAAGGCGATGAAGCCAGGGCTGACGGAGCGTAGACGGTGGTGGCTGGCGACTGCGTCTCAATTTCTGAGTGAGAGTTCGAACAAAAATGGCAGCGATGTGAGAGGATTAGGGACTTAGGTTGTTTAGAGAAGGAAAAAAGGCGATGAGGTGTAGGTTTTGTTCATTTTTTTTATATTATATATTGTATTTCTCAACCCACGAGGTGTCCCATTTGACTTGCGGGTTGGCTTGTTTTTCTCGAGACTCGGATTGGGTTGTCACGAGTTGGCAGCTCATTTTTACAAACTCAAACCAACTCATTTTTGACTGATTACACGCCAACTCGACGAATTTGCTCATTTGCCAACCGTAGTATTTACAAGGGGTGAACCAATTGTTTGTCATATCCATGATATTCTATTTATATGTTATAGATAGTATTGAGCAAGAGAGGGACGATCACCCCCTCAATTTTATACTAACTAGCTTAAGTTTAAGTGTTATTTCTGATTTTTTTTTTTCACATAATTTATGATCACTTGTCGAAATTTATAGAAACTTTTAATTGTGGATATTATTTTTATTTTATTTTTCATAGAAATAATCGAAAAGAAAAATATATATATTATAATTTCGTCCCCTTATAAAATTTACTAGGTCCGAGTCATAATTCTTGTACTAATTCTTCCCTTCGCGAAATTTCACAGTTGTTATAAGTGAAAGCAACATTTTATGCATTATTATATATGGTTATATTTATCTTATGTTAAATAAGATAAACAAGTTTCCTACACATATAAAATGGAGGTGAATTTCATATCTATTTTTTTTTCTCTTTTTTTATATGTGAGTCCCACTTATAATTTTATTTTTATAATATGAGATAACCATTTTCTTACGACATAAGATAAATATAACCCTATTATATATAAAGAGAGGAAATATCTCTAATATTTCAGTGGTTCTTCATTGTTTTCCACTCTTTCTAAAATATCTCTTCATTGTTCTTCTCCTCATTATTCATTAATTGAATTTAATTATTTTTTAGATATTCTTTATAAAATATTTAAACAGTGAAATGCTAATTCAATTGAGAATTATGATTCTATACCTCAACTCTTTATTTGTTCCAAATATATTAATTAAGATTGATAATCAATTTCGGTTCTGATAAATTTGAAATCAAAATTATATTTATTATTGCTTGCAAGTCCGTGCCTCTAGTTTTCACTTTTCACCAATTAAAGGAAAACGGTGTCGTATAGATTGCAGTAAGTTAGCCACCGTTGAATTGTCTTTTAAAATCATGGATGGCTGAGATCCTCTAAAAAAATGAGAGGAACAGCTTCCCCTGTTTTCCTCTGTTTCCGCCATTCCTGGACTCGTTTTTTTAACACTTCAAATTTTTTTACTAACACTTTCTTTTCTGCATTCAATTCTCACCACCTTAAAGGTAATCTCTCTCTCTCTCTGTCTCTCTCTCAAATGTTTGTTCCTTTGTTAAGGTATTCAGAATCTTTATTTATTGAATTTAAAAGCTATCTGAATACTGAGAATTTTTTTTTGAGGGGGTTTCAGATATGGGTTTTTAATTTTTTAGAAGGAAAAAATAAGAAATGGTAATATTAATTGTTAGATTTCTGGGGAAAGAAATGATGAAAAAAGTTTCAAACTTTTTCGTACCCCACTTTAGTTTATGGGCAATACCAGTCTAATGCATGGCCAAATTCATTATTTGAATTTAGTTTTCCCTTTTTATGATTTGAATGAAGCATATATCTCTTGATCATGATAAGTGCAACATTTTTCTTTTCTTTTTTATTGAGGGCTTCTGGCAGGAGGGGAATCAGTTATTGTTCTAACGTATGAAATCAAATTATTTAAACATTATGGTTTTGATTATGTTCTTATGCTATGACATGGCATTGTGCTTGACCAGAAAATGTACCTGTACCACTTTGTTAGGATTTGCATTTTCTTTGTTGATCAAGCTGTAACCTTTGAGTTTCAAATCTTATGTAATCAGATGTTTGGTCGTTATGCTGTTGCTTTCTTTTTGGTGATTTCATCATCTATTGGGGTATTAAATGCAAGTGCTGGTGATGCTGATCCACGTTATAGGTACTTAGCTCCAATCTTTCTCCAGTCTTCTTCTGAAAGTTGTCCATGTCAATAGTTAATTGTATTTGGAACACATTTTATGCTGAAATTTTTATTTTTTATTTTTTTATTTCCACCATTTTTTCTCTCAATCTTTTGGTACTCTTCATTTGGATTTATCAGTCACCGACCTCAACTAGTTTGGGATAAAAGTGTTTTGATGCTGTTTCTTGCTTTGCTTTGGATATCAGGAGTTGTGTAAGACAATGTGAGGAAACTGGATACTGTAAATTTTCTTCAGATGAAGTCCTCATTAATCATCCAAGGGACATGCTAGAATCACTTTATGTACAATGGAAAAAATGGAATTGCCAAAGTGACTGCCGGTACAACTGCATTCTTGATAGAGAGAAAGAGAGAGAGTTATTTAATGATGGTCCAGTAAAATATCATGGTAAATGGCCCTTCAAGCGTATATATGGGATACAGGTTTGTCACTGAAGAAACCATGCACCCTATGCTCCTTCTTTTGGAATTGGTGTCCAATGACATCAAAGTTTTTTGTTTACAGATCTGACATGTCATCCATTTATTCAGGAGCCTGCTTCTGTGGCTTTCTCTGCCCTCAATCTTGCAATGCATTTTTATGGTTGGAAGTCCTTTTTCACTCTTCTGAAGAATAAGTTTCATAAACAAGTTGGCAAGAAGGCCTCCTACGAGTATGCTGTTTTGTGGCATATCTTTGGGCTCTTATCAGTGAACTCCTGGTTCTGGAGTGCTGTTTTCCACACTCGGTAAGTTACTCATGCAGATATTTTCAGTATTTTGTGCTGATTCCAAATGTTCAATGTCATTCTGCTTTGGTTATCCTAACTTCTAAGAATGTACTTGTCCTTAAGAGTGATTGATTTTAGATAAGGTCCAATCATGTTGTATAGTGTTGTTGGTTGATGAAGTGGCATTTCTTTGTTCTTCTATTGGACTGAGTCTGAATCTCCTGGTCACATAGTCACGTTATGTGTCCCAAATTCAGTCACAGTTAAATGAGTGTGAAATATTTAAACTGGTATTTCTTATGTCAAATTTTAGTATATGTTTATCTCCACTACTACCTTTTGAATACTGAATGAAAGCTACAGCTTGGTCTCAGACACATTAAAAAATTGTAATGATTGTATATGTGTTTGCTTTGAAAATTACAATCCTCACCTAAAAATCTTTTTGCTCGCTCCATAATATATATATATATATATATATATCTATATATGGACTTGCAACTTCTCATGTTGCATGAGAAGTTTGAACGTCCTACTGAGAGAGAAAGGAGTGGGGGCCACCTTGAAAAAAAATAGAAAATAGAAAAGTGGCCGGCACGGATATCAAAGTGAGAGTGGTAGGAGAAGAGACTTCTCATGTAACACTGAGAAGTCTTTTTCCATATATATATATATATATATATAATTAAAGCTAATGCTGATGGTGTTCTAACTTATGTTAATACTCCTATTGTTCTTTAAAAACTATATCTCCCATAATCTTACCTAAACAATTAGACAGGAAACAACCTGTCTTATTATCCATTCAATATAGTAGCATATTTCGTAAATTTTTCCCTAAATTGAAATGCAGAGATTTTGAGTTATCTGAGAGGCTAGACTACTCATCTGCGGTGGCTCTCATTGGATACTCCCTCATTTTAGCCATGTTACGAAGCTTCAATGTAAGGGATGAGGCTACCAGAGTTATGCTTTCTGCTCCCTTGATAGCTTTTGTGATCACGCATATATTATTCCTCAACGTCTTTAAACTAGACTACGGTATGTGACATATCTATCCCTCAAGTAATCTTTGTATTATAAATTAATTCTGAGGCCAAGAGTTACATGAAGGGCCCATGTTTTCTTTATTTCCCTTTCTGATAAAAATTCACCTTGAACTGTTTGTTAATTATCTATGCCATACACTTACGTGGCTTCTGCTTCCATTGCAAGATTATTGACAGGATTCTTTGCTTAAAAATATTTTCATCCGACCCATTCTTTTGGTGTGTTTATTTGAATTTTTTGTGGTCATGGTGAGACTTACTTTTGAGAAGTGGATAGATGGGATTGGGTTTAAATTGCTATCATCTTTTAGAAAAGTGAAGTTATGTTTCCATGGTGAATCATAATGGGTGAATTTGTATTTGTATTTGAGAGAGATTAAAAAAAAAATTTGTTTTTCTTCGTTATGTCTTTGTGATTTTTCTTATTCATACCATTTATTTTCCCCCCTTCTTGTGATCTTTTTATGACATTCTCATTCTAACTTTACAGGATGGAATATGAAAGTTTGTGTAGCGATGGCTGTAGCACAACTTACCATTTGGCAAGTTTGGGGTTTTATTAGTCGCCATCCCTCACGGTGGAAGCTCCGCTTTGTTGTTCTTGCTTGTGGCCTTGCAATGCTCCTAGAAATATATGATTTCCCTCCATATCAAGGACTTATAGATGCACATGCTCTTTGGCATGCCACTACTATTCCTCTAACCTACCTCTGGTGGAGTTTCATTAAGGATGATGCTGAGTTTCTAACCTCTAAACATGTAAAGAAATCCAAGAAGTCGAAGTAGCTTTTGTTCATTTGGAAGTGCCTATAAGTTATATGCCTTTGTCCTTATAACAGATTTAGATGCCCTTTGCTCAGTTTTCTTTGTATTCATAGTTGGGAAAATGGTAAATGTGAGCTTCCTGAGTGTTCTCTTTAATAGGCCAAAAGATCATTTCAGGATTTCCCTTCATATTCTTGCATTTCTCCTCATCTTAAATGTATATAAAACCTAATTTTGTTTGGCCAGTTTTGTATTCATACTTGGGTGAAGGACTGTATGTGATTATTTTTTTGTGTCTCTTTTAGGCTTGCTCTTTTCAATGTGTCCGGGATGTTGTGTGACAAGCACATGTTTCTTGCATAATAACATTACTGGAATTAGTCTCCTTAGAATTTGGAATATGTAGTTGTTTTGTTTTAGTTTTCCTTTATGTATAAAAAAATAAAATAAATATCCACTGATTGATGGTTGTTTCTTCTATCAGATAATCTTCTTAATTTTGCAATTTGGCAATGGAGACCCCTCTTCTTACATCCAATGGCTACAATAAAGAGCAACCCATCATCATATTGATCGATTTGGCAAACGTAAAACTCCAAATCCATAATCAATATGTAAATTAGTTAGACCCATATCAAGATATAACACACGTGAATGTATATAATAATAATAATAATAATAATAATAATAATAATAATAATACAACATCCAACTTCAATTTGTAAACCATGAGTTCATGAATATCAAATTCCTGTAATTTTAAACTTAACATAAATAGCAAATTTCAAATTTAGCACAAAAGCAATAACCATATAGACCTTAAACAAATGTGATATATCATTACGAAGGGACATTGTGCCGTTATCAATACCTACTCAATATATATACCTGTTGTTTAGAATTGGGAAATAGCAGTTGATATTCGATAAACTTCGGTAAACATCCAACATTGATGAACTCGTAGCACCAGTGGCGGACCCAGGAATTTTATTGAGAAGGGGCAAAAAATAAAAGTACCTCTTCATAAATAAAACTACTTCAAATACAATACAGACCTAATATGCAAAAAATTGAAAGAAATCTATTATAGAAATTAAGATCACTTCACTTAACTCTTACTCTACGTGTTTTCATATTGTTAAACTCATTTATAATTGAATCCGTGCTAAAACTCAAAATAATTTCTTTTTCAATGTATGTAATCAAAGAATCATCAAGAAATTGGTCTTCCATTCTATTTCGAAGTCTGGTCTTGATTATCTTCATAGCTGAGAAAGATCTTTCAGTTGTTGCTGTAAAAACTGAAAGAGTGAGTACAAGTCTAATCACTCTATCAATAAGAGGGTAAATGATGGACTTTTCAATTCTTGCTAGCCCTTGACATAATTATGATGTAGTTGATAAATTAATCAAATCTGGATGTTTAGGAATGTCAAGCTCAAAATCTTGTAACTCCATCTTCAAATGCAATTTTTTCTGTTCTGTGAAATCTCTAGAATAAAATTTATCAACAAGTTTGCAAATGTCATCACTATTAAATGACTTGTACATGTTTCTTGGATCTAAAGCCATGCTCAAAGCAAGTAATTCTACAGTATTATCATTGAACCTGTTATTTAATTTTGTCAATTGATAATCAATTGTAGCACAAAAGATATTTACCATATAAAAAATTTTAGTAAAAAAATCACCTTATTCATTTCGAGCACGACCTCTCCTTCCAATATATTTTGCACTCTCTGGAATGTCAATGTCATGTTTTATGCAAAATTCTTGAACATGAACCAAGAAAGCTTCCCAACCTGTCTCTCTTAATTTCTGAAGTAACTCTTTTGTAGTTGAAACTAGATGTAAAGCATTTAAAATATCTTGAGACATTCGTTGCAAAGCTTGACAAAGGACTTCAGTAATGTGAAAAATGAAAAAAATACTTTCTTTTACAACAGTTAAATACAGGACTACTTCAATTTTACTTTTTATTGAAAATTGTGTTAATAGATTACTTTTTTTCACCTTTGTTTATTAACATGTTACATATTTGTCTCCGGTTAAGCCAATCTGTTTGCTTAATATTAAATCTCTCTGAATGTTATAAAGTATTATAGTTTTTAGAATGTGTGGATATATTTTAGGAATATACTTAGTCTACTTGCGTCAATTTTAATTTTGTCCACTTATTTATTTTAATTAGACTTAAATTTTTTGTGAAAAATAAGTTTTTAAGTAATTTCAAGTCAAATATCACAATGATTTGGTAAAATTCCTTGTAAAGTAATTTTAAAATTCAAATTCAAACTCTAGAAATTATAAGTAAGTTTCTACCGAGACCGCAATTTAAAAAAGCGTGGGTCACACCTCTTTGTGAGAGTAAAATAATATAAATTGTATCATTTAAAAGGAAAAACATTTTTTCATGAGGTAGGATTTTTTGACACCAGTGTCAAATTTAAAGTTTGACACCTCATGCGATAGCTATTAGATAAAAAAAAGATCAATGGTGTCACATGCTTATAAATCAGAGTCGTGGATCTTTTTTGATCTAACGATTATCTGATGAGGTGTCAAAGGATCTACCTCTTTTTTCATATATATATTTATATATAGATCCTCTTTTTTCATATATATATATAGGCAGGACATTCTTACACGATGTAAAAGTTAAAAGCCTTACACTCAATCTTGACCATTGATCCACTTGTATCCATTGACTCACATTATTAAAAAATTTGAGCCCTTAGATATAAATGAGTTCAACGGACAAGATTAAGATTAAGAGTGTAATTTACACTGGTGTTAAATTTAAAATTTGACACTTCATCTGAGAGCCATCAGATCAAAAAATATTAATGGTGTCACGTGCCTATACATTAGAGTCGTTGATCTTTTTTGATATAATGACTCTCTGATGAAGTGTCTAACTTTAAATTTGACGGTGGTGTCAAAAGATTCTATATATATATATATATATATATATATATATATATATATAAAAGGATAGTATTCTTTGAGGTGTCAAATTTTGAAATTCGACATCAAATACTAACCTATGATTTCCATCAATCAACGGTTATCATTTATTGAGAATTAATATTAATAAATGATAACAGTTAATTAATCAAAATTAACAGATAAAATTTGTTATCAAATTTTAAAATTTAATATTAGTATAAAAAAACCTATTCTTTTTTAACGGAATAAAAGAAAAACATTACTCTCGTTGCCTTATCCTAAAAGGCTAAAACAAAAAACGTGTGCAAGATCCCCACCTCCTTTGGTGATCATTGACTTCAACTACAGGTGAGTGGTGAGACATCTCACAAACAAAACAAAAACAAAATTACATAAAAAAAAAAAGAGATTTGCATTCTTCATGTAACATGAAAAAAAAGTTTCTTACACACATAATATTTTATGAGGTTCGCTTGTTTTGAAGCAAAAAAAAAATTAAAGCATGGAAAACGAATCTATATAACATGACACAATCACTTTTAATACAACATAACTCTTATAAAATCCAAAAAAAAAAAAAATTAACCACTCCCGTGTTCCTAACACGTATTTCAACACAAATTTCATTCTTATAATCCTTCTTCTTTTCCCCATTTTCAAGGGTGAGAAAGAAAATAAAAATAAAAATACTGAAATAGTGCCCTTCCATTCGAAAAAAGCCGTTCATTATTCAGAAACACAATCAGCACTGTTGAACAAAAACAAAAAGAGTAATAATAGCAGTGAACTACGATAAAGGTACCATTTTTAACCGCGTGCCGTGAAATATCAACTGCAAGGGATCTTATTTTGTACAACTGTACCCGCATAATAATTAGTCAGTCAGGACCACCGTACCCACCTTGGTTACAGTAAATTTTTATTATTCTTATCTTAGCCAGTATAATTAATAAATGAGTTTAACGTTCCTTTTACAATTTTAGCACACATAATATTTATAAAATGTCTTTATTTTTTAAATTTTTTCAAAATAGACATTATTTTAAAATCGTAAGAAATCATTTTATCTTTATTGTAAGAAACCGTTATTTCATAATAAAATTAGATATTTAAGTATTTAACAATGGATTAAATATATCTGTTGTAAAAGGACTCTTTTCATGTCACAGACATAAGAGAGCATGTGAAGCCCACATGTAAGTAGAGAGAAATATAGGTGAATTCCACTTAAAATTTGAGTCAACTACAAATTCTCTTTTCTCCTATCAAATGAGAGATATAAAGCCCTTTAACAATAATAGAAAATGAACTCTTTTACAATGTTTTATTAGTGTGAGATAAACATAAAAAGAGAATATAATTTTGATAAGTATTGTTTAGAGTGAAAATTTTCAATACGATACCAAAAAATCATATTTAGGTCCATCCATTTTTAGATTCGAATTATGTTTGCGTTGGCAAAAATTAACTTAAATAAATTTGTATTACATATCAACCCTTTTACCACAACGATGCTGTCTATAGATCAAATGATTATCAATCCAAAATTAATCTGCATTATAAATTATTTGTGTCATGTCATATTATAAATAAATTATTTATATTTTGTCATATTTTGTCAACCCACGTAATATTTAACATAATTTGGATTTGCAAATTATTGGTATCATATTATGTCATATCAACTCATAAAGTAAAATAATCATATTCGTATCAAAAAATTTAATCATCTCATCATATCTTGTCAATCCGGATAATATTTTACATAATTAGGATTTGTAAATTATTCTATGATATTATATCATATCAACTCATAAAATAAAATAATTGTCAAAAAATTCAAACTGATCCTAAATTCATATCGCATTAGTAATAAGTATAATCATAGTAATAATTATGATGTGTATGTGTTATTGAATGGAAATGGATCCTCTTTATGAAAGAAAAAAACATAACATTATCATGTTGAAAAATTACAATCATAGAAAAAAAGAAATCAACGGTTATAATTCTATAATTATTTATTATAATATTTTTCTCCCTAATCTTTTATTATCATTAATCTTTCTTTTTTTTGTATAATTATGATTCTTCGTGTAACCATAGCATCCAAATCCTTAGTGAATTGTCATCCCTAACTATTACTTGCTAGAGTGAAACTAGGTCGCACAGTATGCTCTTATAGGAAACGCCTATGATGCACGGACACGGGACGCGGGACACGATACGACACGACACGCCGACACGTTAATTCTAAAAAATATCATATTTGGACACGTTGGGACACGTTTAGATATTAAATAAAAATTTTAATATATATAATATGATTTATATTTAATACATATAAGAATCCATAATAAGTCATATAACCAATCAAATATCTTGATTCGGATTCCGTAACTGAAGCTTCGGAGAAGAAGAGTAAACGCGGTTCCGATGAAAGGGAAGGGGAAGGGGAAGGGAAAGATCATAATTTGGGTACGCAAACAAAAAAGGGCGAGGTTGTAATCGAAGGTGAGGAGGGAAAGATGAAGGAGAAGAAGAGGAAAAGGGAAGAGCTTGAGAAAGAGTGGGAGGAGAAGAATAACAAGGAGGAAAGACCCATTCTTGATTCGGATTCCGTAACTGAAGCTTCGGAAAAGAAGAGGAAACGCGGTTCCGATGAAAGGGAAGGGGAAGGGGAAGGGGAAGATCATAATTTGGGTACGCAAACAAAAAAGGGCGAGGTTGTAATCGAAGGTGAGGAGGGAAAGATGAAGGAGAAGAAGAGGAAAAGGGAAGAGCTTGAGAAAGAGTGGGAGGAGAAGAAGTATGGTGTGGTGGTGGAAGGAGAGGAAGATGAAAAGGAAAGGTTTGGGAATAAAACTCTTGAGAGCAAGAGGAAGATGATATATAACCCAGCTGATATGTTGGTTTCAAAGGAAGGTTATGATGACGAGGATAAGCTTTTGAGGACTATTTTAGTTGGGAATTTGCCTCTCAAGTTGAAAAAGAAGACTTTGTTGAAGGAGTTTAAGAAATTTGGTGAGGTTGAGTCTCTGGTGACTCGTTCTGTTCCAATACAAGATGTAGGTTTTCTTTTTGTTGAATGTTTGCTTTCGTTTGGTACTCTTTAAGGCTTCGATATATTTTTATTTTTTTTGGGTGCTAAATTTATGTTTGTTACTTTTCTTGATGAACCAGACCAAAAAACCTAGGAAGGGAGCCATCCATTCGAAGAAAATAAATGATTCCGCTGATAGGTAATGGGTCTGAATTGAACAATTATCGAATTGCAACTTCCTGTGATTATTGTTAATTGCTTGCAGAGAGAATGCTGTTATTTTTTATTTTTTTGTCATTTTAGTGTGATTTTATGGATTCAATATCAAGTAAGCCTGCTCGTTTTGGGCTTGGAGAAATTATTCTGCTTTGATTTAATGCTTAGATTTTATATTTTCCAATGGTCTTAAGTGACTTGCAGACAGTCTGATAAGAATACATTCATTTTCATGCATAGGAAGCCTTTTTCAGGCATTTCTAATTGACAAATATTGTGTTTTGCAGTGTTCACGCATACATTGTTTTCAAGACAGAGGAATCTGCTCAGGCTTCTTTGTCCCACAACATGACTGTGGTATGCCCTTGTTCCTCTGAGTTGGGTTGGATCAAATATGGTGTTTGCTTTGTATTTTTGGTGAAGACTGCAGTTGACAGTTTTCTAATACTATTGTTTAATTATCTGACTGTAGGTTGAAGGAAATCACATTCGTGTTGATAGGGCTTGCCCACCCCGCAAGAAACATAAAGTGAAGATTGCTTCGCTTTATGATAACAAGAGAACTGTTTTTGTGGGCAACCTCCCATTTGATGTTAAGGTGTGTTTCCAATCAATGGATTTATTTTTGCGGTCACATAACCACATCATTTCTGTGTGTGTATTGTCTAATGGATCTCACGTATCTTTTTGTGTAGGATGAAGAACTATATCAGTTATTTTGTGGTATATCCAACCTGGAATCAAGTATAGAAGCTGTTAGAGTCATTAGAGATCCTCATCTTAATGTTGGAAAGGGTATTGCCTATGTGCTGTTTAAAACAAGGGTATGCTGCTTTGGTGCCAGATTAGTTATGCATTTTGATAAAATTTCTTACTTTGTGCTCTTTTACATTTTTAGCTCAAACATGTTATAATTCATCTTGTCATGTTTTTCCCTTTCGGTGGTAAAACTAAAGGGCTGTTTGTGGCTGATAAGCCCATGAAGACCTCGTTTTGTTACGTAGAAACCAACTTATTTGTGTGATTACTTTTAGAAATGCATGTTATCTATTTATGAAAAGATATATTTTGTGATATAAATATAATCTAGAACATTAGGATTGAAATGGGCGGTTGCTAGTGTAGGGTTTGTTTACTTTGGTGTAGATTGGCTGCTTCGTTTATTGTATTGTGTCTTTTTGTGTAACTAGGTACATGTTATTTTTGGAAGTTGCTTCTTTCATTCAGAATATAAGTGGTTAGAGACTGATATGTATAGGACTGAATTTCTGTAATGGTTGAGTGAAGCTGCATATCACACTTTTTAAGTCCACATGTGGGCTTGAAAATCTGATTCAGGTCCTGGGTACCAATGTCTGACTATTTCAGTCCACATTGTTGAAAACTCTCTCAATACTTTACCTTTAGATTTAAGAATGATGCCTCTAGGACATTTTCTTATGATGAAGAAACCTTTTAAACTGCGAAATTAGTGATGGTGCACTTGCAGTGCATGGGCTGAAACCGCTGGAACCATTAGTTCTTTCTTTTGCTTTGCATAATGAATTCCTGAAGGTATTACTGGCATAAAACCATATGGTATTGATATGCAAATTGGTGTTTGACTGGATCTAATTTGAGACATCTTAGATTGTTATCATCAAAGGAAATGTTATCACGTGCAAAAAGTGGCATAAAGAATGTTCAAAAACTTCTTTCCAAGTCTTATCACCAGGAATTCTGTCTATAAATATTTATTAAAGTTGTGTCTTGTAAATGCAGGAAGCTGCTAATTTTGCTGTTAAGAAACGGAGCTTGATGGTTGAAAATCCATGCTGTCATGCCAAAGCGGATGCCACCCCATCCAAAAGGCCAAACCCATCACCAGCTCCTAGTACCCCTGCAAAGAAGTTGGCTGTGAAAAGGCCATACCAGCTGTTGCAAAGAAGTTGGCTGCTGCACTTGTTGCTGAGATAAGAAAGAAGA